CCATGAGAACAGCATCTATGGACGGTGCACAGTGGGAGATCGCTGGTCGAGCCAACAGGGTAACGATGCTAACCTACCAGATGGAGACAGAAACTGGTCCAACAGAAACACCTTTGGAGCAGCAGAGGGCGCCACCTCGGATGATTTTAAGGTATACGGACAGAGACGTGCTGCATTATTATTCTCTCTTGACCATTGACAAACACATTGCTGAAATGGGATTTCAAAGAATCTAAAATATTTGAATATAAGTTGTTTGTCGAAAACAATGGTGGAATACTAATTAGTAGCATGGTCCAAGGCAAGCCAGCTGTTACAATAATTATTATTATCTTAACTGAACTCTTGTGTGTTGAGAGTGTGTCTGCCTCCCAAACAGAAGGAGTTGGTTCCATAGCACCACTTGTCATAATATATAACTTCCACAGAATCCAGGCTACTATGAAATCAGGGCAGAAGACATGTCTGTTTGGCACGTTCCCAACAACTTCCCACTGGAGCACTGGAACCTGGCAGCCATCCTCCGCTACCACACTGAGAACCACTTCCTCCGGCTGTATGGAGGAAACCTCTTTCAGATGTTCTCGGTAACTTGTGTAGTTGTTTTTGTACTTTTTTACTTCATGGCATATTTAAAAGCATTAGTTAATACTTTGTAAATTCAAATACGTAATACAAAATATAATTAACATGATGTCTTATTATAGATTAGGCAACATGGCAGTATATATTTTCAAAAATTGCTTCCAACTACAGTATACCTTTACAACCGTGCACCGATCCACAATTTTAATCAATTTATTTAACATATATTGCTACTTTACAGGGTAAAATATTTGACTACGACTACATACTGTATATTATGACATTCTTCCAGCAATATCCAGTAAGATACAACGTTGGCTCCCCCGGCAACAGAGGGCCAGCAATTCCCATTCTGTATGACCATGGAGACAAAGAGTCCACCAAAATGTTATATGGACCCAAATCAAGAGGTAAAACTCTAATATAGTGGAATGGAGATAATATAGAGCTTTTCAACCATCATGTATGAGCATATCACTAATTACATTAATTACTGATTTGATCAGATTTCCTAAAACAATTAATTTATACATTTAATCAAAACACTGGAATTATGAAATCTTTAACACACAAGTTTAATAACAATGTTATCCTTGAATGACTAAATAGAATGCACCAACTTACTAAACCACATTTCTCCTGCTGTAATCAAAGGTTCTTTTTTTTAATTGTGTATTTTTCTTAACATATATAAGGGGAGTTTGAACCAGGTTTCATCACATTCAGAGCAATCAATGAACGTGCAGCCATGGCTATCTGCTCCGGGGTCAAGCCGGTCCGTGGATACAACACTGAACATGTGAGTCTCACTCTTCTACTGTCTGTCAACACAGCAAGTGTTCAGAATCAGAATCAGAATACCTTTATTTGTCCCACAGATGGGACATTAACATTGTTAGAGCAGAAAAGAGCCAAAGACAGCTTAATGTTACCTAAGAAGCATGCATAAAAAAATATTAAAGATTAAAAAAATTATAATAAAAGAAAGTCACACAATTTACAAAATACACATCCTGTAACAATATTTACACATACTATTGCTTCTGTGTGTCTCCAGTACTGTATAGGAGGAGGGGGCTATTTCTACACTGATCAATGTGGGGACTTCCCATCATTTGACTGGGACAGATTGGGAATGGAGCAAGGCTGGAGCGCCTCCAAAGAGATAACTGAGTCTGCTGTTTTACTCTTCTACCGCTGAGAGGACTATTTGCTGAGACCATGATATAAATAACAGTTTTCACCTTACCTTTTTATAATTTAGATTTTTCTTCTGTCTGAATGAATAAAATCAATTAAGAACCATACTCGTGCCTCTTACAGTTTTTTTTAATTGAGCTGCACTCCAGCAGATTTTCAAATACATTTTTAATTGATTTAGAGTTCATATACTATTTTTCCAGCAGCCTACATTGTCTATAGAACAATTTACTTTGATCCCACTGGGTGTAAGGTAAGTTTTGTCCATGAGGGTCGGATTAATAATAAAATTATATTTTATTAGTTGCACATATTACAGCTTTTATCAAATACAAGCTTGTCTCATCCACGTTTGACTTGATGAAGTTTCCACTGAGTCCATGAGGTTTTTATTATCATTGAACATTTCGTTTTTTATTTCAATAGGAGTCTCTGTGATTGAAACATTTGCAACAGCAAAAATTAGATTATTTTGAACATAGTAAATTATTTATAAGTTTGTAAGAAAATAAAGTTATTATACTAAGCATAGCATTGAGGGTGCACAATATTACTTGTTAGCAATTATAACAAACCCTTTTTAAATAAACTTGATTTCAATAATGTTGATAAAAACCAAAAACAAAGATGTGATAGTTCACCTCTCAGTACATTTCAATGTCTCTGCTATGTCTGTGCATCTGTGCTGTAAAAAGATTAAAGTTAGGAGAAAGCCATATTTTACATATGCTATAAAATAAGCAAATTACATTGAAAGGATAATGGAAGATTACTGTCCACATTATTGTGCTTAGCTTTATGGCCCTTTCTTCAGTAGTTGAGGGGAACATTTCTGACTTGGACCTCTTTGTGTGACAAAAAAGCAAAAGTGAGATAATTGTGAGGTAAATATTGTGTTTAATAAACAAACATCAGTCAGGGAACTGACATTAGTCTGGGGGTGGAGAACAGGGGAATATAAAGCACAATGCACATGTGTAGAGGTGGGGGGACGTATTTATCTGTTACACAAGGTGCCCTCGTACAGTAGGAGCAGGAAGTTCTATATAACATACAGATCAGGATCCAAGTCTACGGTACAAAAACTTAGCAGCAACATGTTAACATCGGAGACCAAGGGGCTAACAAAGTAGTTTCATTTAGAAAAAGTCACAGTATTCTTTAAGCATAAATTTGTTAAAAAGGTAAAAACAGTTCTAGGCATCCTCTAGGGTCAATGCTACTCACAAGATTTGTGTGTGAAATACATAGGTAGGGAAATTATCTATACATTTATACTCTAATATAAAGACCTTCTGGTAATGGCACAGTACAAACTCTCAGGAAACGCGACAAAAATATACAATGTCTTCACGTCACATTTGCAGATTAAAATGTAACTAAGGTCTCTGGCAAGCACAATAGTTTCAGTGATCAAAAAACAACTTCTCTTCAACCAAAATAAAGGACACCATTTTGTTAGTTCAACTATCTTGACAGATTATGTCTTTTTAATACAAAAATAAGGACAAATATAAATTAATATATATTAAAAGATCAGATTGATACATAGGGGATCTACTGAATAAGTACAGGTATTTATGATACAATAAATACTTGTCATTCATGACTGGGGGGTGGATAAACAGAGAGTATATTTAACCTGGCAGGTATTACATATGACTCTTAGACTGGTGAGAGCATTTTTATGTGTGTGTGTTGTTCAGTAGCTGTAAAAAATATCACAAGTTTGAGCGCAGCTGTGAGTAGGATGGTGGACACAGTCTCAGAGGGTTCAGAGGTCTGTTGAGGGAGACTGCAGACTACAGTGGTGGTTTCTTGTGTTGAAGGGGGTCGTCACTGCCCGCCATCTCCCGTGCATTTATGCAGCTTCGCATAGTGGTGAGTCTGTGGTACTACCAGTTAAGGTTACTCCTAAATACACAACTCACAGACAGGAAGCAGGAAGTCTACAGGAAGCAGTTAGCCGTCAGTGACCGGTCAGTCCTCCAGGGCAGAGACAGTGTGGCACACCATTGGAGTCAAGGTGACCAACAAAAAGAAGTAGACGTAAGGGAAGAAAGTCATCTCTCGTGGTTTTTTTTGTCTTTTTCTCCACTTCATAATAAAAAATAAGTCTGTTTTTGTACTTTACAATACAATTCAACATCCCCACCGAGGAAGCATCAATCATCAGTCCAGCACTGATACAGAAAAGAAACTATTTTTTAGTTGTTTCTCTTGTTTTTTTTGTGCCTTTTTTTTAAGGGTTTTTAAAAAAACAGGGATGGTTGGGGGAGGGGACTGTGGAGGGTGAAGGGTTTTCTCTCAGGAGGATTCGGGACCTTGGACAAGGGGTACGAGGATCAAGTAATGAGGGCAAGAACATAAAACATATCTGGAGGGGAGGAAATCTGCCAAGGGTGATGTCTCTTAATTTTTCTCTTTTTTTTTACGAGGAACACTTTGTACAGCCACATTTGACCACCTTTTCCACTTCCTGGACAAAAGAAGAGCCGTCAGTGCACTGGAAGGTGTATTTCCTGCGTTTGCTGCGGAGGGGGGTGCAGCAGGTGCCCTGTCCTTCTGCTCCCCCCGGGCAGCTGCCCCGACACTCTAGGCGGGAGACCTTCTCCTGGGTTTGGCACGCCGCGTAGCCTTGCTGTCTCTGGTAGACATCTCGGATCCGTTCCCCTCTGCAGGCCACCTCTGCAGACATGCAAAAGAAACACAGGGGTTACAGGATATCCATGCTTTCAACGTTCACTTGACAAAAGGGATCTAAATGGTGAAAATCTATCACAACATGGTAGGAGAAATATCCTAGGTTAGGGGCTTACAAAGACACATACTGTACACCAAAGAAAGACTTGAATAAAATGACACACAAATAATTCCAAACAGTTACATAACGTGTCAATAGACTGTAGAAAGGACAGGAAGATGACAGTAAAATAAAAAAAAAGTGATGAATGACACTGGTAAAAATACCTTGCTTGAAAGAAGCAATAGAGAAACACTTTTAAAACTAACATAACAATCAGGCCACAATAGAATTGAACCTGAAACAAATTATTTGATAAAGCCTAAAATCATTTGTATATTACATTTTGAAATGTAGGATCTAACACAATATACCCAGTAAGGTCTTTACACATTCATTAGTCTGCTCCCTTTTGTACTATTAAAATAGGATATATCCATGCAATTAGTTCTAGTTAAAAATAAGTGCATTATCTTACTATGATAAATCCAGACCAGGGCCTGGTTAACTTCAAAATAGTTTAATTGAGTGTCTATCTAAAATGAGAAAGAAAAAATAGTTAAAATAAATATCTTAAAGACTTTTCTTTAATTGCGCTTTTGCTTAAGAGGACAAATAAAAAGTAAGCTACTTTAGCTGCATGTTGCACGGGGTTAAAACAAGGTGAAGTAGGGGGCATTTGGTGAATGTATTTTGGGTTGCATTTAGGAGGAACGAAGGAAAGAAAATTAGAAAAAGAGTGCAACAGTAAGATGTGACCGGGCAGCCTCACCTGAGTTGTCCCCCGTGAGGGCTTAATAGGAAGCTCAGGAGATGCTGAGTTGAAAAAGCAGCGGGTTAGAAGCGTTAATGCAGAGACATTAAACACTCTTAGAGACACACAAACACACTGTGAGAGACTATTGTTGAGAGGAACAGAAAGCAAAGAAGAAGCTTAGAGGTTAAAAGAACCATGCATTAGATTAAAAGCCTTCCAAGCAATATATATTTTCCTTTAGAAGAATGAGAGTAGTCAGGCACAGGTACTAACAATACACAGACACGCCCATCATAAATGTGTATCCCATCCAAACATGTTTTTCTCACCTCTGTCGCACGCTTCCCCTGTATATCCGCTGTTACACTCGCAGTATGCCTTCCCCAGGCCCGACACTCTACATTTGCCATGTTTACAGTGTGACATACTGCAGGGGTTAGCTGTGTCCTGGTCCTGCTCGTCGCAAAGTACTCCAGCGAAACCAGGCTGGCAGCGGCATGAGTACGAGTAGGAGTTGATTGGAAGGCAGGTGCCATGTATACATCTGAGGATGGAGAAGGCAAAGACAGGAAACATTAATGAACAGATATAACAAATCTAAACCTGGTACTCACGGTTGTTTTAAAGGAATATTTCACTTCCATAATGACTATTAGTATACATCACTTTACCTCAGCCACATCATAGACTCTATGCATTACATTAATGCACACAATGTTGTCAATATTGCTTACTGCACATATTTTATATTCTATAATTTATTGCATTCTATTGCAATGTAAATTACTGCTTTATTGTATCGCTATCTTACTATATTTGTATTACAGTGTTCTTAATATAGTTTGTTATCTGTGTCCTTTTAAAAAAAATGTATGCACCACGACACCTAGTCAAATTCCTCGTACATGTGAACCTACCTAGTAATAAACCTGTTTCTGATTCTGATCAATTACTCGCCCCATGTAACCAGGAAATCTTTACACTTTTTACACACAGCGTTTAGTTTATATTTAAATAGTAAGGTTTTAGCAGACATGTGTGTGTTTAGGAAGTAGTGAGCATTAGCATTCTTTATTTACTGTGGGGTCATGGGAGAAAAGACAATATCTCTTCATTCAATTGAATTCAACCACATTCCTTTTGCTGAAAAAGATTGTTGCTTTAAACTCATACCAATTCTGTCATCACCAACACATAGACACAAGGGCACACCCAACACTCACTTGTTGCCATCACATGGGTTGTTGACTTGCTCGTCGCACACTGTTCCCGTCCAGCCCGGGTGGCAGGTGCAGGTGAAGCCTCGATGTCCCGTCGGGTGGCAGTCGCCCTGGACACAGGCCCCTCTCTGACAGGGCTGGCAGCCTGGCTCCACCCCTTGGCCCAGCCACTGTCTGCTGGTGCTCTGTGCCGCTGTGGAGCCCAGAGCCCCCGAGCCCAGCCCGGCCCCCAGGTCCTGGAGCTTCCCGTTTATGTACAGGTTACGGAGGCAGCCGTGGAAGCTGGTGCCGTTACGACCACCTGAGCTGTGCTGCAGGGACGAGGGACCCCCAGACCCTGAGGCACGTTCTGGCATTCCTGGAGGAAGAAAGGATTATAGAGATTAGAACCTAAAGAGCTGCAGTATACCTAAGTATATGAAAAGTAAATAAAAAAAGACATGAACTGTCATTATAAAGTTGATTTAATGTGTTTCAACAATAAGGATATATCATAATACTATGCATTAAATAGTAGAACTAATCTAATCTGATATTTTTCTTGGGTACTAAAACTCAAGTCAGCCACTGATAAAAGGGTGTATTAGTTTCTCATTAGCTTTCTTTGAGACGAATTGCTGTACCTTGGTAGTGGAACAATTAAGTATTTATCAAGTGTTCTGTCTTTAGTCATTCACACAGACACAACCACCCACACACTCTCTCTACTCAGGTCCTCACCTCCAAGGTAGAGTGGAGAATCTATGTTGAGGGTGGACTGTTTGCTGAGGGAGTTGATGGATTTGGGCGTCCCGCCGTCGATTGACAAAGACAAAGTCTGGTCTGACGCCACCAACTCCACAGCATGGAAGATGCCATCATTCACTGTCTCCACACTGAGAGGGAGAATATAGAGATTGTGAAGGCGGGTGCCATGTTGTGTGTCTGAACATTTGTATCATCCATCATGTGAATGTGCCAGTTGGACATTTCTGCTTGTATGTGCATGTACCTGTATATAGCGGAAGGAGGGTATGATCCTGTATCGTAGCTGACCCTGAGGCGTCCCCTGTACAGCTCCATGGCAATGTGATCATTGTCCCCTTTATACAACAACACGCCACTGTCCTCATCTGTAGCAATCTGAAAATAATGGGGATTTATGGTTAAACGTTGATAAGTACAATGCATAACTACAAAATGAATGTCCCGCATTCAAACTTCTAATTAGGTTATCATCAGCAAAATGTTTATAAACCTGCAATAACTACTCTTTTTCCAGCTTGGGGTAATGGAGCATAGGGATTACAAAAAAAGTACCTGCTGCCTTTGAAATGAACATTGAGAACAGTGAGAGCAAACCAAAATGGCCAAGTTGTCACCGTACAGCCAAACTGTATAAAGCTCTGCAAGAGGGGAGCTGCAGATTCAGGAGAGCCCTTTCTCATATTGTCATTTCATACATTGTCATCATAGACACTTTAAATCAGTGGTTCTCAACTGGTGGGTCGCGACCCAAAAGTGGGTCGCGGACCCGTTTCGAGTGGGTCGTAGATGTGTGAGTGAAGAAAAAATAAATTTAATTTCTCCTTTATTTTTTTGTGGAAAA